AGATGTGTATAGGGGACAGCACACATACTTTGGCCCGCGGCTGATCCGCTCGAGTTGGCCTGGCCTAGCTATCGATGAATGGTATAGAGTACTGCAATTCTGATCGATAAAGAAGAAAGGTGAAAAAAGAATCAAAGTGCTATTGAGGACCTGGTTACTCTGTGTATTGTGCCTGTATACTCTCCTATGTGATGTTTGCCACTTTTACCGCTGTGACTTAAAGGTGTGGTGCGAGGGAAGAGTTGGGTGTTCCCTCACTTTATTGTGTGGTTCCAGGGGCTCAGACTCTGGAAGCGCCATAGTTTTTACCACTTTAATATCTTATCTAATTGATTTGACACTTTCGAATTTTTTTGGCTGCTGTTAGAGAAAGAGCATCTGTGACCTACCAGTGTCTTAAAGAAACTCATGGAAGTATACAATGGTTTATGTATCCCTACCAAAGATGCAATCGAGTGAATAGTATGCAGAGGTAGCATCAGGAATTGCCTATTAGGCATGTCAAACAACTTTGTTAAAATGTTAAACATTTTGTTATTTGTTTTGTGTACTGCAGGCAATTGATCTACCCGCCAAATGAGACCAAAGGCAGAATAACGGTGACTAATGAAGATGTCAGTTGTCTGGAAGAAGGCGAATTTATCAATGATGTTATTATAGATTTCTACTTGAAGTACGTATATTTTGATTATTCTCATTAAATATTTCTTACATCATCACCATCATCAATATCCTCATCATCATCGTCATCATCATAAAAAAAACCTTATCATGATTCTTTGTTGCCCTTGGTCATGTGGTGTAGAATCAATCATGCAATGTCATACCCATCTCCACCCCCTGGAGGGGTGTAGTATTCCTAGTTTTGCATGTAATTCAACACTTATTATTTTTTTCCAAAATTAATATGCTTGCATTACTGTGGATATTATTCTTAATACTCAGTCTTCTTTATAATAAAAAAAGATATAGTCTATTAAATAAATATAATATTTGTTAATTTGCCAGGTATCTTCTACATGAAGTTCTTGGTGAAGAATACCAAGAGAGAACACATATTTTCAGTTCTTTCTTCTATAAACGTTTGTCTCGGCGTGTGACCTCTACCTCAAAATTTGAAAGCGGACCGCAGCGTTCAGTGGCTGAACGAAGACACAGCCATGTCAAGTCTTGGACAAGGAATGTTGATCTCTTTAAAAAGGATTTCATAGTTATCCCAGTCAATGAAAGGTTGGCAACTGTTTACATATGTTCACAGTTTCTTAAATTCGTTGTTGTTTCTTAAATTCGTTAAATTGTCTGGAAAAATAACTGTAAAACTATTTGATAGTATTATTACATACTCCAAGTATCGAAATGCACGCGATTGTGTGGGGATTGAATATTTCAACATTAATTATGTCATCATCAGGAAAACTATTTTGTCGCACAAATAAAAAGCAACGAAAGGAAATGACGCAAACAATGATTTGGAAATACCATGTTTATAAATTTGGTTTTGTTTCTCTTATAATTTTTTTCCTCATTAAAAAATTTATTATTAATAATTGATTAATAATTAATACATTTTGTAAAACTTGTTTGTTTTGTTGCAGTGCTCATTGGTATGTGGCCATTGTGTGCTTCCCTGGTCTACCAAAACCTGGTGCTAATAATAGTGACTTACTGGCTAGTAGCCAGCAAGGTACAGTAATACTGTATTATTATTCATTTTATATATTTTAATAATGAATCAAAATATTATTGACTGTAGAATTCTTAATTTAAAACCAAGTAAAACTATACGTACTGCTACGTTTCGTTCCACTACTACAAAGGGAAATATATACACACAACATTATGTCGATTGACCTCGGATATGGGCATGCGAAGTTAAGGCTACAAAATGGCTTATTAACTTGCAAGCCTGGTGTCATGAGATTCTTAATTATACCAACATGGACTATGGGTGAAAGCCTGAAGGTTGTTGCTGAAATGCTACAGCATTATGATAATGCTACAAAATGGCTTATTCCATTGCAAGTCTGGTGTCATGAGATTATGAATTATACTGATATAAACTATGGGTGTGAAAGCCTATAGGTTGTTGCTGAAATGCTACAGCATTATTATAATGCTACAAAATGGCTTATTAAATTGTAAGTCTGGTGTCATGAGATTCTTAGTTATACTGACATAGACTATGGATGTGAAAGCCTGAAGGTTGTTGCTGAAATGCTACAGCATTAATGTAATGCTATGACATTTGATGATGTACTACCAGAAATGAATTGATCAGTAAATTTGTGAATGCTTTTCCTTTGTTATTCAGGTACTTTACTAAATCAAGATGGTCAAAAAACAGAAAACACAATAAGCAATAATTCAACCAACATCAGTTCAGACAAGCTAACCCATCAGGAACAATCTGATGTCACCAGTGAATCCGACAGCATTCCCGGCGGAGAAACAATGGAAGTAGAGGACCCAGATTCCTCGGACAATTTTCAACTTCCCACAAAAAATGAAAATCAACAAATAAATGATACAGCTACAAATTGTGAGAATGAAGGTGAACATGTCAAGAGTGTTTCGCATCAGATTTCTACGGAGAATGGCATTACTCGTACTGATAACATCCAGGAAACAATTAGACAAAATAAAGAAATAGATGCTGCTAATTCATTATTCCACACTCATCAAAGTTATCCATATAAGCAGTAAGTAATGTTGATGATTGATAAATACAGTATATATACACAGTATATATACGGTTTTCAAAGTGTAGGGG